GGACGGTATAGGAGCTTGAGCAAACTTTTTCCGGTTGCAAAAAATATTGTGATTGTTGTTCAATTTTCCCGCTTCACGCGTGCTATATATGCTTCCAGCCTTACTATTGTGATAGTTGATCGGAGAGAGCCCTTTCGCGCTCGACGCTGGTTTTTTATTTGGGAGAACTGGAAGCATTTTTGGAAGATTTGGAGGGATCTGTTGGGAAGATGGCAGGTAGGATGGAAATGGAGGAGGGGGAGGGGTGGGTTCGTAGCAGAAAAGGAAAGGGTCGTACTGACGTGATGATCTCAGCCATCCTCTACTGTATCCTGTACTGCATACCAGCATAGTCCTAAACCCAAGAGCCATCTCAGAAAGTACAGCAAGGAAACGGGAATCATGGGAGGATGAAGGAAAGAGTGGGAGGGGTACGTGTGGGCCGTGTGTGGCTACAGTCAGTCTTTATCTGGTAACAAGAGGCGTGGCTACGAGAGCGGCGAGCCTTTAGACGAAAAAGAGGCAGAGGCTTAGGCAACCGTCACCCGTTTCCCCTCCGACATAGGCGGTACGAGCGTTCCAGTATTTCCTATAAGATTAGGAGGAGGAGATAGGAAATGATGCACAAGAAAGGCAGTCGATATGGAAATCTCACGCAATGAAGCTACGCGGCGACATGCAACAAGAGCAATGCTCGGCGTTTAGCGCTGTTGTGCTGTGCCGCAGCGCGTCAATGTGCGGGATATGCAATGGGGGACGTCTATTTCAAACGTTAGCCTTGCAAAACTTTGGTGGTAACGAGGGCATGACGCATAAAATTATGTACGTCTAAGACGCGGGCAGACGCGGTGCGGTGGACACAGCCGATTTACCCTGCGTTTGTACCCGCCCAAGTTGTTGTGATTGGAACACCTCTCGCAGATTAGACGATGAAGAAGGGATTGTCGTGGTGTTGGAAGTACTTCCCCATATTCGATTCCCCTGACCTGCCCGCCACCCAAGTTGGTCGAGTGGGAAGCTGAGATGGGGTCGTCTTCGAGTCAATTATACGAAATAGTAAATTTGCTGATCAGTTTTTAAAATGGCCATGTTTAATATGGGTATTGATTTTTTATGTTACAGGTGTGAGTCCGGAATTTGCATACCTAAAAACTTCACCTGCGATATGAAACCGGACTGTAACGATGCAAGCGATGAGAAGAATTGCCGTGAGCCTTTCATTTCGATAAAAGCTCTTCGAATTTCCTTAAATTACTTGAA